AAGATTTGAGAGAGAGGGTTCCATATCTCAAATAAATTTAAAAGCCATTGTCAAGAAAGACAGTAGCAACATGGTCAGGGAGGAGAAATCGGTTCATTAAACAGCAAGCTTGGCCCATTCACTGGGAGAAAAGTCCTTTTGAGCAGCCCTGTGCCCTCTTCTGTTTGCAGGTTCTTGGCTGATGTTTCTGTTGCTCTACAGCAGGGGTCCTCAAACTTTTTAAACAGGGGGCCAGTTCACTATCCTTCAGACCGTTGGAGGGTCGGACTATAGTTAAAAAAAAAAAAAAAAACTATGAACAAATTCCTATGCATACTGCACATATCTTATTTTGAAGTAAAAACACAAATGGGCAAAAACACCCGCATGTGGCCCGCGGGCCATAGTTTGAGGACGCCTGCCCTGGAGTCTCCACCTGCTGCGTGCTGACTTTGCCACTACTCCCTGAAGGCTTCTCCTTGTCTTGCCTGTCTAGTTCCTGACATGCTACCCACTGGGTTTTTGGTAAAATTTTGCCCTTATGCTCACCTCTCTGGCCTGTAATCCTGACCAGCTCCCTGCTCTGACTTCTGATGATGTTATGTTTCTGCACTCTATGTTGGTTTCCTGGATATCTGGTCCTTTGCTTGCCCTCACCTTGGGTAACTGTGTCCCCAAGTGTTTTCTGCCTTCCTGGATCCTGACCACACTTGGGGACCCTGCTTTTCAACTGTCACAGTCCTCCCCAGCACTCTCTATTTCTAAGCTGGGACCTGAGCTGGGCTGGACTGGGCTTCATTGCAGCGCAATCAGGTTCAAGAATATGCTGGGATGGGAAAATGGAGACCAGCATTCGTTTGATGTCATGATCCAATGGACAGAAAGAAATAATAATTCAGATTCATGGAGAAAGCATGGTTCACATGGTGCATTCACATCCTTGCCTCATTTCATTCTCATTATAGTCTGATGAGATTGGGATATTCTTATGTCTGTGTGAAACACAAGGAAACCGAGGCTCAGGGTGATGCAGTTTGCTAAAGGCAGCAGAGCTGGAAATAGAACCTGGATCTTTTGACTCTAAATTCTAAATTCTTTTGACTCTAAATTCTGAACTTGGGTATAGGAGATCAGAAACAGTTTGGTTGCTAAAGCGTTGAGGGAAAGGATCTTATTCATGGGAATTGGGAATGGCCTGGCTAGAGGATGGATTAATGGGAAGAGGTGGGAGATGGGGGTGGTGCAGACAGGCAGAGGAGTGGGGAGGTGGCACTAGCTCCAGACAGGCTGTTGCTGTGGAATCTGAGTGTGGGCCCTCCGGGATCAGGCTGATCTGATGCCTGTGGACTATAGATTGGAACTGCTCCAGCCTTTGAGACACATGGGCTAAAGGTTCCATTCCCCTACCTGTTGGGCTGCACCTGGGCTGGCCTTAATGGGAAGTTTCTAAGCATTATCGCTGCACTGTGGCCATGAAAACTTGCAGGGTAATTCGAGAGGTATCTCGACACATTGTTCTCCAGGGTGGGAGGAGGAACTGCAGTGACCTTTGTGGGGAAGCAGGAGGAGGAACCCCGTCTCCATGTCCCTCTGCCTCGGAACACTTCCCCTTTGATACCACTCACCTCACACAGCATCTTGTCCCTGGGTCGGGTCCCTGCATTCTGTGCAGCGCTCCCTTATCTCCACCTTGATAAACTGGTGACTTTGGGGCAGATCACACTCTTCATGGACACTTCAGAGTCATCTGAGAAAGAGAATGAGTCAGACCCACTCTATTCATAGACCCTACAAAACCTTTAGCAGCTGGCCCCGGGAAGGTGGCAGAACAAGTCCGGCTGGCCGTTGGCTTCCCACAGAGGGTGGGTGGGCAGGCAGTGGTCCACCTTGTTGCAGGCCGTGAGGGTGCCTTGGCTTTTGAGAATTTAAAACCCAATAATAAAATTGAATAAAAATCAGCCTGCTTTTTATTATCACCACGTGCCAGTAATTCTAAACAATGTCAGTGATAAAATAAACCCTCCCTTCTGTGGTGGGCCCCTCTCCTCACTTCTACGGTTCACTAGTGCTGGTTAGTTACCTCGACAGTCTCACTGAAGCTGGAGTCAGTAGACATGACTCCGTGTCCTAGCCCTGCTACCTGGCCCAACTACCGGGACACTTAACTTCTCTAAGCCTCAGGGTGTTTAATCTGTAAAATGGAACTAAGAGATTCGTGTATAGCCAGGGATGAGAACCACTGCTTTAGGATTAAAAGAGTTGGCTAATTGCTTGGAACAGAGACGTTCTCACCTCTGGCTGTGCACTGGAATCACTGGAGTCTTTTACAATTAAACTGATTTCCTGGTTGCAGGTTCCAGACCATTTTTTTTCTTTTTTTTTTTTAGGTAAGAAGCAGCAAGAGGACAGACCATTTTTTGAGTCAGTGACTCGTGTCTCTGGGTGCTTCTTGCTCAACCTTCACGTGATCCATTTATTGGTACTGACCATGAGCCAACCCTGCAAATATTCCCAGTCTATGCAGTTCTCTAGCAGGGAATCCTGATTCTTGTTTCGCAGATGAGGAAACCAAGGCTCAGAATAGCTAGCGGCTTGCCCCAGGTGACAGCATAAGTCCCCAAGGCCAGGCCTTTTTGACCTTGAAGCCTGGGGCCTGGGCCTAGCGGAGTGTGTTCTTCACTCTTCTGGAAACAGCCCAAGGAGAGGGGAGACCAGCTAGGGCCTTGGCTCTGCCTGAGGCCCCCACGCAGGTTGAGGAGAGAAGAGAGGTGTGATGAGTGGTGTTGCCTGGTATTTGGCTCTGTCTCAGTCACCGGCTCCCAAAATACTTCCCTTTGGAGGGGGAAGCTGCCTGCCCATGAGGCCTGCCCCTGTCACCTCTCATTGCCACGACACTCTTTACAAAGAGAAAACTCAGGCAGGAAAAGCAAACACTCACTTGCCTTTTGAGAGTTTGAGAAAATTTTCAGGCATGTGATATGGGGAAAAAAAAAACAGCTTAATTTCCCTCATAATATAAAGGGGAAGCTATGTCAAGGTGACCTGAAACGTTCAGCTCTGCTTTATTAAAAAACCCCTTTTGCCCCTTCACAAGCCAACACGGTGCGGGGCTGGGAGCTGGGGCATTTGGGTGCCAAGCCGAGCCCTGCACCGCCGCCTGTATACTCTGTAAACTGAAACGCATCGCTTAAAATCCTTAAGCTTGGCTTTCCCTGTCGGAACTCAGGGCTGCTGCGTAAAGGTCACAGATACTCTGAGATGCCAGGTGCTGGGGACCGCAGTCCCCGGAGGTGTCTGTCAGAAAGAGAGGACCCTGGTGCTGAGACTCGCAGCCGCCTGGGCCTGGAAGCTTTGTCAAGTGTTTGCTGGCACCCACTAAGGGACCCGATGTCCCCGAGGCCCTAAGTGGCTCCAAGTGGCCATCTGTGTTAGAGATTCCACTGAATGTGTTCACTCTGGCTTTGAGAGGCCTGGCTTCACTCCACCTGCGTCAGTCCCTAATGTGTGGACAGCTCAGAGCCAATATTTGGGGCCTTCATAGCTGTAACTTTAGAGTTAGTGGATAATATAATATAAATGTGGCTCTACAAAGCCTTCCCTGCCCAGCCCAGCCCCGAGGACTTATCCATTTGTGCCCGTTGTCTGTGCCTTTGGTCCCTGTCCCTTGCTGCCTGGCACAGAGCAGATGCTCAGTGTTGAGTGAAGGGAGGATGAGGGGATGGAGAGAGACTTGAATTTGTGTTTGGTGACATCTCTAAAGTGGTTGCCATAGAATGGATTAAAGCATTGGCATACCTATTCTGTGCTTGCTCAATTTGACTTTGTCGTTGTTATTGCTACCCAGGCTATTTTGAAGACTGTCTTGAGGATTATTCTAATAATGGAGTGGTCCAGATACAATGCTATTTTCTGAGGTTGGGGCAAATATTCTGAGGTTGGGGAAAAACATTTCATTATGTGTGACTTCTACCCCAGAGCCGCTAAGAGAGTGTGTCTTAAATCTGGAGTCTGGTGGACCCTTATTAAGCCATTAAGCTGAACCCTAAAACTTTCTGAGTTGCCCCAAGCAGTGGGCATTTTGGGTGGCAAGAAAGCATGGGGCAGTGATGGGCAATGGTGGAAAGGGACTGGGAGGATGCCCAGGAGGGACAGCTGCTGGGAAGGCTCCAGGGACTTTGGTCTGCTCCTGCTGATTTCTGGAAGTGAGAAGGAGAAGCAGAAGGCTGCTGCCCTTCCCCGTGGGGTGGGCTGCCCTTGGAGCACACAGGGAAGCTGGCTCAGAGCTGCTTGCTGCTCCAGCATGGACACCATTTCACAGTTGCTGTCTCGGTCCCTGGGGTGAAGGAGTTCCAGGCCCAGCCCTAGGTGCTAGCACCTGAAGGGGACTATGCATGCTCTGGACTCCTTAAACTCTCTCAGAGGCTTTGTGGACAGGGGGCTGTCTGGCTTTGAGGCTTGGCTTTGCCATTAACTCTGTGATTACCTCAGGCAAGCCACTCAGCATCTCCTTGTGCCTCAGTTTCCTAATTTTACAACTCTATAGTCATGCTAGCCCTCTCACTGTGATGGTCTCCCACTCTGAGAGCTTACTTTGTTAGGCTGTCTCCCCTCTGACCCCCACCCAAACCAGGATCCCCACCAACCCGGTCTGTGTATAGACATTGCGATTTCATGTGGTAGATACCAGACTTGGGTTCTAACTGAGGCTCTGCAATGGCAAAGTTGTGTCATCCTGATCAATGACCTTTCAGGGCCTCAGTATTCCCCTCTGTACACTGGGAATAACAATAATAACACTGATTCCTAGTAAAAGGTTCAGGATTCATATGAACAGAGGGGAAGCCCAGTACCTGCCCTGTCTCAGTCACAGATTGTCAGCCACGTGGGGACGCTGTCTGGTGGATGATCTGTCCTGTCCTGGCAGAGTGACTCTGAATTAGTGTGGCCCAGTAGTTGACAGTGGTGTCACTTTCCCGACGGCCACTATGATGTCCTGATCATGTGGGTCTGTGTCCCCGCAGCGGCCAGTTTGCCATCGTGAAGAAGTGCAGGGAGAAGAGCACGGGACTGGAGTATGCAGCCAAGTTCATCAAGAAGCGGCAGAGCCGGGCGAGCCGGCGAGGCGTGAGCCGGGAGGAGATCGAGCGGGAGGTGAGCATCCTGCGGCAGGTGCTGCACCCCAACGTCATCACGCTGCACGACGTCTATGAGAACCGCACCGACGTGGTGCTCATCCTGGAGCTGTGAGTGAAGTGCTGGGGCCGTGGGGGGGCCGCCGGGGTGGGTGGGGTGGTGGAAGCTCCAGCCGCAGGCCCCGGGGGGCAGCGGCAACCTGGGCTAAGCTCAGTGGGAGGAGATCAAGTCAGGTAAAGTCAATTTCCCTCTGCCTCAGTTACCCCCAGCCTCCTCCTGAAACTGGGCCACAGGAGGGCTGAGCTTGCCTAGTAGCAGGGGCAGAGGGTGATGGTCCGAGTCTGGCTTTTGTTGGGCCCTGGGGAGCAAAGGGAAGAAATGACTGCACTGGGGTCATTTCCTGGCTGGAGGAGCCTGTGGGAGGGTGAGAGGGGCAGAGGGTGGGGAGGGAAGCAGGGAGGCCGTCAGGGAGGGATCTCATCTATGAGGAGGGCAAGAACAGATGTCCTCCAGGCTCTGTGAAGCTCTTCTCCAGCCCTTTCCTGGGGGAAAATCCACTGCTTTTGTGCTGTGTTTGATGCCTTTATTATTATAGCTCTTATTTAGGGAGCCCTACCATCAGCCAAGCATTTGCTAAGTGCTTTATATTTGTCGTCTTGTTCAATCCTTATAGTGACTATGATGAGGGAAATGTCTTACTAACATGGAGAGGTTATTTTGCATTCACTGTGCCAAATGCTATTGCCTTACCTAATCCTCATAACAATGCTGTCACACAGAGGCTCCTATCATCCCCGTTTTACAGACAGGAGCACTAAGCCAGGTCACTTGCAAGACCCTATAGCCAGGAAGTGGTGGGGCCCAACTTGAGTCCACATGGCTGGTGCAGACACCTGTGAGCATGAGGCGGATGGCCTTATGCTGGCCTAGGAGAGGACTTCTCAATGCTTAGTGGGATTTGGACAGACAACACCAAGACTCTGAGGGTGGGCTGGCCACCCTGGTGTACTCCTGGAGGCATCTCCATGGAACAAGGAGGTAGGGCTCTGGCAAACAATAAGGTTTGAGTCGGTTTGTGGCACAAGACATAGTGGCTGTGTCCAGTCCAGAGCAACACCCCATGTTAAGAATGTTCTGAGCCTCACAAGCATGTGTGCATCTGCCAGTTAGCAGGGGAATGGTGGTGTCTGTCTCAGCAGTCCCTGATTTTGTGCCTTTGGGCAAGTCATCTCAACTCTCTGAGCTTCAGGTCTCATCTGTAAACCAGGCAGCCATCCTTAACTTGCCTACAGATTGGGTGGACCACCAGACATTTGAAATCATTCTAATTTGAGAACAACTCTGTTGTTGGCAGGATATAGATTTAAGTAGCAGATGGGCAATTGCATGCTCTTGCATTTGATTCTTAAATTATCCATTTCAATGTTTAAATGTATGGAATTGCTCGTGCTTTCCCCTTCTCTAGCTGCTAATGTCTTCCATGTTTCTCCCGTGGACCTCCTGGCCAGTTGGACTAGTTGGTGCACGCACCAGCCTCACCCAGACAAGGGCCGGGAGCAGTGGCTCACACCTGTAATCCCAGCACTCTGGGAGGATGAGGCAGGAAGATTTATTGAGGTCAGGAGTTCAAGACCAGCCTGAGAAAGAGTAAGATTCCATCTCAACCAAAAATAGAAAAAATTAGCTGGATGTGGTGGTGCGTTCCTGTAGTCCCAGCTACTCAGGAGGTTGAAGCAGGAGGATTGCTTGAGCCCAGGAGTTTGAGGTTGCAGTGAGCTGTGATGATGCCATTGTACTCTACCCAGGGTGCCAGAGTGAGACTATCTCAAGAAAAAAAAAACAAACAGAAGCCAGTTAGGGTCCCCCAGGTGTGGGCAGCCCAAGGTGTGCCATGCTCCAAGATGAAGGGTTAGCAGTTGGCATCCTGATTCCCAACAGAGAGTGACAACCATACCTTACTGGGAAGGCCAGGCCACTTTATCAAAAGTTTATTACAAAAAAAAACAAAAAAAAAAAACTTTCAGGAATTAAAAAGATACTACATTCATGATCCTACAACCCAAATATTTATATTTTTTATATTTTTCTGTGGTTCCCTTCAATCTTTATTTGTATACAATCATTGTGCTTGTATAATTTCCTGCTCTACGTTTTTTTCCAGTTAACATAATTCCATAAATTGCCTTTTCTCTTTCAACTGACTGTACCCTCTTTCTTTGAACTACATACCAGTGTTTCCCTATTGTTGGACATTTGGTTTTTATTTCCCAGCTTTTGACCTTTACAAATTATATTGATGAAACAACTTTCCTCCCGTGATTTCCCCCTTTTATTTTGAATTAATTCTTTCAGTTAAATCCCTAGGATGTAGCTAAAGTCTGCAGGAGTGGGATGATTAGGTCAAAGGCTGCATTGTTGGGACTTTGATGTCCTCACTTTCTCAGGAGGGTGTTGGGTAACCAGTACGACTGCAGCTCAGGACTGTTCCTGTTTGCCTGCAGCCTTGCTGCCCCTGGGTCATCGGCTATAAAATGTTTTTCATTATTTATTGATGTTTATAGTTATAAATTGATACTTTCTTGTTTTAATTGGCACTTCTTTAATTGCTGGGGAAATTACCTGTTTCTCCTTGTTTGTAGAAGCCCGGGAGTTGGGGAATGGGCTGTCCTTGAGATGTCCCTGTTTCTCCCAGCAGGCTCGCAGTCAGCCAATAGTTATGTGCCATCTTCTAGTGAGCTCAGGTGCACTGTGCATAACATCAGCTGTCACACCGGTGCCCCCGTGAACTTGCCTGGGCTGCTGTGCTTGTTGAGTTTTGTTTGTTCACAGTTTCTGTCTCTGCCTTGACTTCCACGCTGTCTCATTGCTCTCAGGGTGCTTGTCTGTGGAATGCTAAGGATTTGTGAGATTAGAAAAGATCCAAGCTTGCTAAGACTGTGCGTAACCACGTGTGGCCAGGGGCTGAGAAGGAGGACCTCCCAGGAGAGGAGTTCATGGACTTTGTGCTTGGACTTGGTGACTCCTGTTGGGCTGAGCAGGAGTCTTTGACCTCCTGATCCTCACTGTGCCCTGATAGGAAAGTGGGTTTGCCCCGTAGTTGAACATGATACTAGTGTCCATCTCCTTAGTTGAAATGTGCTCAGTTGCAGGTTTTACAGATAAGTCTACCCTGATCCCACTGCCCCTCTCAGCAACTGTTATCTGTTGCGGGGCTTCCTCCTGCTTTCTGCTAAAGTGCCCAGCACTAGGAGGACATGCCCAGCCCTGGTTTAAGTTCTCTTCAGCTGTTATTATCCCATCTGTGACCTCCTTAGAAGCAGCTGCCTCTGGTCATGGCCTTTGAAGGCAGGGTTGGGAAGGATTTAGTTGTCCATATAAATTGACTTCTGTATGGTATAAAGAATATATTCAAAATCTCAGTAGATTAACTCATGATACATGTGGAGCTTGCCTTGAAAAATGTACTTCTCCCCTTTGAGGGTTGGGCAGGCCTCCTGTCGCTGGCCCCTGACCACTCTGGGGCCTCCTCGACTCCAAGCCTGTGGAAAGCAATACCCTGGCGGTTGCATACCAGAGAAAGGCCTGGCAGAGTGCTGCAGGGTGGCGGCGACGCTTCCCAGCTGTGAATTGAGTCCAGCTTCCTGGGGCCCAGCAGCTCTGGCAGAGTCCTTCCCCCATTGCCACCTACGCAGTTCATTTGCGCACACATTCCCGGAAGAGTCTGAAAAGCATTTCCAGCAGGCAGACCAACCTGCAGGGAGGAAGGGGGCAAAGGTCAGATTAGCAGGAAGGAGACAATCCTGGGAATATGAGAGAAGAGAGGAGACCAGACTCTGAGGTTCTGCTTTTCATCTTGAAGCTAAAGAGATTTAGGATGTGAGAGGAAAGAACTGGGAAGGAGATGGGGCATGACTCCAGAGCAGAGGTCTTACAGCTGAGAAGTCCTTGCTAGAAACTGTTAGGGGGGGGGAAGAAATAAAAGCCAGGCTCCTTGACTGGGCTGTGAAAAGAGGTGACTGAGCATTGATGTGAATGTCCCCAGCCTGGTGGTGTCTAGGGCTTGGACTGTTACCCCAGGCAGGTCAACAGCCTCCCACCTTTCTGAGTCCCTGGGGAGAGTCTGAGGGCCACAGTGGCTGTTCCTTCTTTATCCCAAGGAGACTATGCTTCACCAGCTCTGTCACCCAGGCTGGAGTGCAGTGGCGTCATGTAGCTCACTGCAACCTCAAACTCCTGGGCTTAAGTGATTCTCCTGCCTCAGTCTCCCAAGTAACTGGGACTACAGGTGTGCCCCACCATGCCTGGATAAATTTTTCTTTTTTTCTTTTTTTCTTTTTTTTTTTTTGTAGAGAAGGAGTCTTGTTCTTGCTCAGGCTGATGTCAAACTCCTGCCCTTGAACAATCCTTCTGTCTCAACCTCGCAGAATGCTGGGATTACAGGAATGAGCCACCATCCCCGGCCATGTTGATATTTTTAATGTTTTATTTCCTTCTTTTATTCACCATACTTCTATTGAACATCTTTCTCACACCAGGTGCTGTGGAATCAGACATAATCTAGCTGGGTAGAGAGAGACCGATAGTGAAGCCCAGGGTAGTAAGGGCCTGGACGCAGCTGAGCAGGGGTGTCAGAGGGCTGCCCAGTGCCTGGGTGGCTTGGAGGCTTTCCTTTTTGCATCAGCAACTCAGGCTTTGTAACATGGTGAGAGGGACACGTGATACACTGGGGCTGAGCCCTCTGGGTCTAAATCCTGGTTCTGCCACTTATTAGCTGTGTGACCTTGGATAAGCCACTTGTTTTCTTTTCTTTTTTTTTGAGACAGGGTCTTACTCTGTTGCCCTGGCTAGAGTGCTGTGGTGTCAGCCTAGCTCACAGCAACCTCAAACTCCTGGGCTCAAGCAATCCTTCTGCCTCAGCCTCCCGAGTAGCTGGGACTATAGGCATGAGCCACCATGCCCGGCTAATTTTTTCTATATATTTTTAGTTGGCCAATTAATTTCTTTGTATTTTTAGTAGAGACAGGGTTGTTCTTACTCAGGCTGGTTTCGAACTCCTGACCTTGAGCGATCCTCCTGCCTCAGCCTCCCAGAGTAATAAGATTACAGGCGGAACCACCGTGCCCGGCCGCAACTTGTTTTCTTGAGGCCTCAGTTTCCTTATCTGACAAATGGGGACAGAGGTTCCATTTACCCCTCAGGGCCGATGTGAGGCTCAGGTGATGGCATGTTTGAGAAAGCACATTGCACTGGTGGTAAACTTCAGATAAACTCTAAATCAATCTCTCTTCCACTGCTGCCCCCGCTGACAATGATGTGGTGTGTGGATTTATGTCACAGGCGTTATCAGAGATCCCACAGCACTTATCCCAACATTGCATCAAGATTCCTCCCACTCCCACCTCCACCCCTGAAGGTGGCAATGAGACCATATTTTTCCCCCACTCCTGTTTCACAAGAAGAAAAGCTGAGCCCTGGTACTCTCACATGCCCCACCCCAAAGTGAAGGTTGAGTCTTGATTGTGGAAGGATCGGGGTGACTGTCCTGGCCCTTTGACCCCAGTCTGCAGAGTAGACTCGGGGTTACTCCTTCAGCAGCTGGGAGGATGTGCCAGGTTCCAGCACCTGTCCCAGGTAGGAGTGAGGTACAGGATGACCTCACTCATGAGATACTGAGAAACTGATACACCAGCCTCACCCCCAACACCCCAGCAGCCCTCTGAGGCCACAGCCAGCTCACTGTGGGGGCACTGTAGCTCTAGCAGACGGTACAAACAAATGTGCCATCTTATCTCACTCTCCTTACCCTTTCACCTTCCTCTCTTTCTCTGTTTTTTGATGGAATTTGTAAGTTGGAAAAACTAGGTTATTTGTCCCATCGATGATCTTACAGTTTGCATTAGACTTAATTCTTTCCTCATGGTATCATTTAACTTGTTCCTCTATCCCCTGTGTTTCTTGTAAACTGATAAATTAGATCTAGAGGAGATACCCTTCTTATTGGTGCTTTCTGATAGAAATGTACATATGAACCACATATATAATTTTAAATTTTCTAGTAGCCATATTGAATAAGTAGAAAGAAATAGGTGAATTAATTTTAATAATATTTCATTTAACTCCACATATACAATAGATCAGTTTAACATGTCAGTATAAAAATTATTAGTGAGATATTTTACATTCTTTTTTTTCATACTAAGTCTTCAAAATCCAGTGTGAATTTTACACTTCTCAACTCATATGCAGTGCAACGGTTAAATTGAAATGCAATCCTATAAAAACAATAAAGTTGTGTTTCATGGGAAATATTTTACACCACTTTAGTTTTTAAATTAGAATTAATTAAAATTAAATAAAATTTAAAATTGAGTTCCTCAGTCATACCAGTCCTATTTCAAGTGCTTAGAAATCACATGTGACTAGTGGCTACTGTATTGGACAGCATATATATATATATATATTTATATATCATTTTCATCACTGCAGAAAGTTCTGTTGATAGTGCTACACAAGAGGCTTAAGCAGATTTAGGTGTAATTTTTTAGGTCACAATAAGTCAGAAGTGTTGCTGTGTACTTCCTATCGCACCACATCATATCCAGTTCTACTTTTCTAAGATTATTGAGTGGGTCTAGGTGTGTTTCTAGGCATTTTCACAGAAAGGAGGAAACGATATTGATGCTGTTTATTTAGGGTGGACTAGGTGACAGGGAAGTGATTCCCAAAGCTGGGATAGAGCCATTCTGGCCATTTAAGAATCATCTGAGGATACTCAGTATTATATAGTAGTTACGAGTCATTCTGCTTGGGTTTGAATCCTGACTGTGCTACTTACTAGCCGTGTGACTGTGAGCAAGTCACTTAACCTTTTTGAGCCTCTGTTTCTTTAACTGTCAAACAGGAAAATAATAATCCTTAGCTCAGAGAGTATTATGATAATTAAATGAGTGAGCTTAAAGCATGTAACATAGAGTAAGTGTTCAGTGAGTAGTAATTACTATTATTATGTTGTTGTTATTGCAAAGGATATAGGTTCTAAGGCCTCTCTAGTAGAGAATCTAATTTGTTAAGGTTGATGGTGGGACCTGGGAACCTGCATTGTAAACAGGTTCTCTAAATGATCCCAAGATCCTGGATTCCTTGGCCCAGATCTCTTCCTGAGATTTTTTTTTCCCTGCGGTGACCTTTGGCTCTGTCCCAGCCCCAGAGAAGCACATGCTGCCAGGATACCCCAGCATCTGTCAGAGGATAAACAAGCCCAGGAGCGTTGCCAGATTTAACAAGTAAAAATCTACTTTATCTAGCAACTCTAAATCCCAGGGGAGATTCTTTTTGCCTTGAGGGTCTCCATTCTTGTCCACATCAACCATACCGTTCAAGAGTGTGGAGTGTGAAAAAAGTAGTATTCTAGAGTTTTTAGAGATTAATATAATTAGTGGGGTCTTATGTTTAAATTAGGACCATGACTAGATTCTCTTGAGCCTATGAACAGTCCATCTTTTGTAAAATTAAAGAAAAGGTGCTTTAGGGCCATCTTGTCCAGGATGCTCATTTTGCAGGAGAGGAAACCAAGGCCTGCTTGAAGACAGGAAGTGAGTTGTCCAAGGTCAGTGGCAGGGCTGGAATGGAACCTGAGTCTCCAGTTTCTGGCCTAGCATTTGTTCCTCTTTATCATCAATCTTAGTCCATTTATACTATAGCATTCTGTCCCTGGCCCCCCGAATTCATGTCTTTCTCAAATGTAAAATACATTCATTCCATCCCAATAGCTCCAAAAACCTTAACTCATTCCAGCACCAACTCTAAAGTTTAAAGTCCAAAGTCTCATCTAAAATATCTAAATCAGATATGGGTGAGACTCAAAGTTTGACTGGTTCTGAAGCAAATTGCTCTCTAGTTGTGAACATGTGATATCAAATGGGTTACATGCTTCCAAATTGCAATGGTGGGACAGGCATAGGATAGACATTCCCATTCCAAAAGGAAGAAGTAGGAAAGAAGAAAGGAGTGACAGGTCCCAAGCTAGTTCAAAACCTTATGTCTCAGAATAATCTTTGGCTTAATTGCTTTGCCCTCCAGGCCCACTTGGTTGAAGTTGCCTGCCTGTAACTCTCCCAGGCTGAAATTGCTCTCTAGTGCTTCTACTGGTCTGGAGTCTCAAGGCAACCCCACCCCCATTGGCTCTGCTGGCCATTGCCCTAGAGCTGGAAATCCAGAGGGAGGCAGACACACACCCACCACCTTTGCCTGGCACAGAGCATGCTACAGCATTGCCCTCGGGGAGCCGCACCTGGTGTGGCTAAGGGATGTGGCAACAAAGTTTGGGGAGCGGAGCCTACAAGGTAAGGCAGCACTGGGCAGTGGAGGCTCCTCCTTTGATATCATTCTGCCCCCAAGGCCCTGGCCTGTGGATCTGTGATGAGAGGGGCCTCCCCCTTACCTTCCATAATCTCTGAAATGACTTCAGGGTCATTCTAACAATCTGGAACAATAGGTCCTGGCTTCTGTTTAGGTGGCTGACTAATTTCCCTATTGTCTTGATGAATAGCACCTGGCTTCCTTTGAGATGGCCAATCATACTAATCTCCTTGCCAAACAGTGCTTGATCATTCATACCTTTGTTCTCTCCCAAACAGATTCTCTCATTTGTTCTGATATGAACAGGCTCAACATTTTTCAAACTTTTAAGTTTTTATTCCCTTTTGATTAACAATTCCATCTTTAAATCATTTCTCTCTTTTTGTAGTTCACTATAAGCAGTCAAGAGAAATCAGGCCATTCCTTCAGTGCTTTGCTTAGACACTTCCTCAGCCAAATATCCAATTTTATTGCTCACAATTTATTGCTTCCACAAAACACTTAGGACACAAACACAATTCAGCCAAGTTCTCTGTTACTTTATAAAAAGGAAGGCCTTTCTTCCATTGCCCAATAACAGACGTTCCTCGTTTCCATCTGAGACCTCATCAGAATGGCTTTTACCATCCACATTGCTACTAATATTCTTTTTATGCCCACATGAGTATTCTCTAAGAAGACTGAGACATCTCCTCATCTTCTGAGCCCTCACCAGAATCACCCTTAATGGTTCATTCATGGCAATGCAGCTTTTTCTTACCTGTTCCTCCAAACTTTTCCAGCCTCTACTTCTTAGCCAGTTCCAAAGCTGCTTCCACATTTTTAGATGTTTGTTATAGTAGCACTCCACTCTTGGTATCAATTTCTTCTCTTAGTCCATTCAGGCTGTTATATAACAAAATACTATAAACTTGGTAGCTGACAAACAGTAGACGTTTATTTCTCACAGTACTGGAGGTTGGGAAGTCCAAGATCAAGGTGCTAGTAGAGTCAGTGTCTGGTGAGAGCTCACTTGCTCATGGATGGCTGTCTTCTCACTGTAACTTCACGTGATAGAAAGGGCGAATGAGCCCTCTGGGGGTCACTCTTTCTTTTTCTTTTTTAAAAATATTTTTAATTAATTTAAATTTTATGTATTCTTTTTTTTTTCTTTTTTCTCCCTAGTTCTCCTGATAAGAGCAGATGGGGTCACTCTTATAAGGACAATAATCCCATTCGTGAGGGTGCTGTATCTTCATGACCTAATCACTTTTCCAAAAGCCCCACCTGCTAATACCATCACCTTGGGGGGTAGGGGGGTAGGATTTCAAAATATGAATTTTTGGGGAGCACAAACATTCAGACCATTGCATCATCTCACAGTGCTTGTTTCTGTCCTCTGCCATCTTGGGCAGGGAGAGGGCAACATCAGGGTAACCAGGAGGTGGGCCTGGAGTGTAAGCAGTGGCCCTTCTGGCAACACCCTCAGGGCAATTCCTGCCCTTGGGATCCAACAGAAAGAACACCCCACATAGAAGCAAAGTCAGTTCCTGGTGCTGGCTGGATAAAGCCTATGACATGAGTGAGGGGGATTCTGCCATACGGGGTCCCCCGGGCAGGGGTGGAGGGCTTGTCAGGTTCAGGGGTCGCACCATCAGCTGGCCTCCTGACACACAAGGCTGACTGAGCCTGGGCCCTCCCGCTGGTGTCTTACAGAGTGTCTGGAGGAGAGCTCTTCGATTTCCTGGCCCAGAAGGAGTCACTGAGTGAGGAGGAAGCCACCAGCTTCATTAAGCAGATCCTGGATGGGGTGAACTACCTTCACACAAAGAAAATTGCTCACTTTGATCTCAAGGTCAGTAAGAGGAGAGAGGGAAAAGAACCAGAGTTTAGGAAGGAGGGGCCCAGTCCCCCCACCCAGTGTCATTGCCACGGGGCCCCCAGCGCCCACTCAGCCCTCCTCCTTTGTCTTTCAATTGAAAACCCTGAGCTCCTGGGAAAGAAATGATGCCATGGAACGTGTCCACCTCTCTCCAGTTTCAGTTTGTGTCTTAGTTTTTTCACACATGGGGCCTGACTACAAGAAGCTTCTTAATCAGACTGCAGTACTGTAGCTCTTTCAGGGAGCTGGTTGGGCATAATTTTCAAATAAGTCGATCAGTGACAGGAAGCTTGAAACCAAACATATTTCACAGACTGAATTTTCAGTAATGAAGAGTAAGTCCTGGACAGAACTAGGAGCGTTTAGAGGCCTGCTGAGGTTGGCTTGTTCTCCAGACCCAGCATTCCTTGGCCAGAGCCTATACATTTTGGAGCCCAGGGACCGCTGGCTGCCCTCCTCTGCCCTGCCCCAGACTGTGGCCATAAAACTGCTTCTAGGGCCACTGATCATTTGTGGTAATGGGTATTCAGGGCCGAGAAAAGTTTACTGTGACCACACAGGACTTTATAAAGCAAGCATGTGGTCAAAGTAGAAGGATCAATTCCCTTAGTAACAGAGCTCAGTTGCAAAGGATGGTGAGCCTTACAGACACCTACAGCATAAAGGTCCCCTGACTCATGATCAAACCCATGACCTGTTTTCCAGGGAGGAGACCCATTTATTTTTCTATCCAGAATTCCCTATGGTCTTTCAAGCACTGTGCTGGGTGCCTGGGTATTGCTGCAGATGCAAAATCCACTGAGGGCCTATCTGGGCTTGGTTCCTCTTTTCCAGAGAATTTAGTGTAGGAGATAGAAGAGAAGGACCAACAACTCTCAGTGCCGATAGAGGAAAGCACAGGGGCTGGGGAGCCAGAGGGAGACTAGGGTATCAGAGAGGGCTTCCTGGAAGAGGTGGTATTGAGTTGAGTTCTGAACGAGTGGCAGGCGGGAGCAGAGGGGAATGGCCTTCTATGGAAGAGAGGCCATCATTGTAGGGTCACAGAACGGAGCAGTGCATTCAGGAAGTACGGGCATAGGGAGTCTGTGCTGAGTGACTGGGAATGATGCCAGGAGGAGTGCAGGAGGCAGACACAGGGCATGAGCACTAAGCCAAGGAGGCTGCACTTTACCCTGAGAGATACGGAGGCCAGGCAAGCAGCAAGGTGTTGGGAGCAAGGGTGTGTTTCAAAATGATCCCTCTGGCTGGGAGGATAGTCTGGGGACAGCCGGAAGGCTGGGGGCCCAGCTAGGAGGATAACGCAGTAATCTGGGTGACGTGTTAGTTAGATGTGGAGATGCAGAGGGCAGAGCCCAGATGACACCCAAATTCTGGCTTGGACCTTTGGCCCAGAGAGAGTATGATGTGCCAGTAGTCCCACACATAGGTCCCTGCCCCAGCTCGTACTCCACTGTGAGTCCCCTTAGCATGATCCCCTCCTCCTTATGCCATTTGTCTTAGCATTTCTAATCCTATTTGTAATACCTCCAACAGAAGACCTCTTGCGGAGTCTTCACCAAGGAGGGTGAGGCTTGGGCAGGCCTTTGGACCTAGGGGTAGTAATACACCAAGCAGGAAACGGTCTGTCTGGATTGCACCTGCGTCTCCTTCCTGGTACTGCTATGGATAATTAACTTGTTTTCTTGTGTCTTTGCTGGCTCGAGGATACCAGCCTCAAAATGAGCTCCTTTGTCTTTTCCCTGGTAGGTCTGGCAGAGGTAGGAGGAGTTGGTGGAGCCCGCAGGCCCCGATGGCTATAGCAGGTTCAGGAGTTTTTATTTGTTTCCATGGCAGCTCGCTGTGCTAAGGGGAGCCCTGACTTGGCCTTAGACACACAGGGGTTTGATCCTTACTCTACGGTGTATCAGAGTACACCCGAACCTCAGTTTTCCAGCTTCGATACGAAAATAACACCTAACTGGCAGAGCTGTTGTAAGGCTTAGAGAGAGGAAGCATTAAGTGCTGAATATGGAATAGGTGCTCTGTAATAGTAGCTGTTGTTATTATTTCCCTTCCCAGAACAGAGGAAAAGAAAACACAACTCTTGTTACAGTGTTTTGGGTCCTGATAGACCAGGAAAAGAAACCCTGGCAGTGCAATTCTAAATTGCCCGGCAGTGAGCTGAGGTTGGTTGCTAGGTGGGACTGCTGGTGGGGGCTTGTCTCTAGTTCCTGGGCTCAGTCTGGACATTTTCCATGACCTGGGGACAGTCTGGGTTTCCCCTGGATGCGTGTGGGGTGGGGATTCTGCAAACCCCTACCACAGTCACTATTTGCAGAGCTGTGAGGACTCTGAGCTCTCAGACTCCCCCACGCGTGGGGCCCTTGGCCCAGGCCCAGCTGGGCCACTTCAGGCCATGATGAGTAGCTGGAACTCAGAGGGATGACCTCAGGATTGGGTAGGCACCTCCTGGAGCCAGAACGTGGGTCTGTGTGCCCCCTGGATGGAACTTTCTGCCAGCTGGTAGTTTAGAGGAAGCTTCTAGGTTCCGTGTTGTTTCCTACCACACAAAATCCACATTTTTCTTCCTGATTTTCATTCTCCACGAGGGACCTTTGCTTTCCTCTCCTGCTTGTATTCTGTTACTCCTTGTCAAACAAGCCAGGCAAGGAACTTGCTGCCCCAGGAGCACAGCCACCATGTCGTCTCCACACCCCTACTCATAACCTGCTTTCCAACGTCACCTTCCAGCTTAAAGGAGCAGGTGAAAGAGGAAGGTCACTCTCTGGCTTGCCTTTGGAATGCGAATGAGCTCTCCTCAAGCTGCTATTCGATAAGCTCCTCCTATGTTCAGCCATTGTGCTTGGGACAGCCAGGCTCTGTTCCTGCTCACTGCATGTCCCCCGCCTTGTTGCAGAGAGCAGACAAATGGGCAAATTAACGCAAGATAAGCAGTCTTGGTAAAAACAGATCATGACATGCTCTTGTCCAAAGATCTGTGATGGATCTTTATTCGCCTTAGGGGAAGTGAACCCATTCTCAGCATGGCATTCAGGCCTTTCTTGCACCGCCTTACGCCAGTTTCTGGCTGCATCCACCCTTCCCTACTCTAAAAAAGTAGCCCCAAGCAACAAAACGACAGATGCGTTTTCTGGCCTCTCTCCTCCTCTGTTCATCCTGTTCCCATCCAGGCTACTGCTCTCTTCCTTTTTCTGCTCACAGACTTCCTGCTCATCCTTAGAGGCCCAGCAGAAACCCCATTTCTTCTGGGAAGCCTTTGCCATCCCTGCCATCTCCCAAAAGCATAGCTAAGAACTAACCTGCCTCTCTGCTTCTGTTGCCCTTTGTACGAACTGCTGAGAGCATTCCTCACTGAGTCACTTTGTGCTGCACAGTGCCTGACACATGGGGAATCACTCAGTGTTGAATGAATGAGTGAATGAATGAATGAATGAATAATTGAAAGAATGGATGCTTTAGTGAAGACCAAACACATGGATGCCTAAGGCCCTTTCATGTCTTACCTGGAAAATGCAAACGAGGTTGCAGGCAGATTTTAATTCATTAATGTGAACAATTATTGAGGGCCTACTCTACACCATGGGGGAGAGTGACAAACATCAACATGCTGTGGGACCGGCCTTCCAGGGACCCACCATCTCCTGGGAGATGGGCACAGTGATACTCGGTGGGGACACCATCTGAAATAAAAGCTAACCAGTTCTCACCAACAAATGCTCATGTCCAAGGGATGAGCTCTCCGCCTCAGCAGAGTGGAGACCATCCCGGTGTGTGTTGTACACTCACCGCAGAAAGACCTGCTGATGTGGGAGGTGGAGGTGGTGGGGAGGATGAAACTGCCCTGTATTGACTTAGAGGGCAGCAACCCTGGGGCTGCCTCTCCCCCAGTACTGGGTAGGACTGGACCTCCCTTCAGACGTGCCTTCCCCAGGATGGGTCACCCGGAAATGGGCTCAGTACCTCCCAGGAGCCTCACCCTGCTGCATGATCCCAACATAAAGGCCTTACAGAGGGCAGTTTTGTGTGTTCTTGTTTATTTTGGATTTGGAAGTTTCCCCTCTGAGTATGGGTGTGTCCTTCCCCACACTCCTGAGCCTTATCCAGCTTGAGAACCCAGAAGTGGAAGATGGTCCTCAAGTCTGAAGGTATTTTAAGCCAAGAAACAAGCCGTGACAATTGATTAAAATTGTGTGCAAGCCAGGAACCCAGAACTCCGAGGGGGCTTTCACTTTATATAAATAGTGTTAAGAGGGGTGAATTCCTTCCTGAGAAAGATACTCCCCAAATCCAAATTCCTCTGTGCCCTAAATCATCCTTTGAGCTCTTCTTATGTTCATGGTATGATGTGGTCTGTTGGTCAAGTTTTCGTAAGAAATATAGTGATTAATACTTTAAATGTACAGGGACTTGCTGGAATACAGCATGCTTTCACATCTGTCTTCTCATTTGATCCTCATTGAAGTACAAGGTATTGAGATTTTTATGGACAAAGCAATTGAGATTCAGAGAGGTTAAGTAACTTGTCCAAGATCACACAGGTATTAAATGATAGGGCTGGTACTTGAACTTAGGCAGTGAGGAAACACTAAGCACCAGATTTTATTCTACCAGATTCTGGATTCACAGTCTAGATTTCTTACTTCTGGCTAAACACGAGGCTAATTGAAAGATCAGTACCGTGCCATAAATTTATTCTTTACACAGTTAATTTCTCATCTGGTTACACTGTTTTTTCTTTCTGATAATTGTGGTTTCTTTCTAATAAGTTATCCCTCATACTTAAAAATTAATTTGTATTTTATTAATAGCTATGGAATATGCATGTGTTTGGAAGTAGAACTTAAGAATGAAGCTCTTTCCATAGTAAAACCTGGGGCATGGAGTGGAGATGAGATTTGGCAGAGATTCAGCTGGCCAGATGGGTTAGGGTGAGACTGTAAAGGTTCAGGGCCAGACCAAAGAGTTTCTGTAGG